TCCGGGTCACTTTCCCTCCCGCCGTCTCTATCTCTCTGTCTCTGTCTCTGTCTCTATCTCTCTCCATCTGCCAGTCTGTCTGAATCTCTGTCCAGCCGCAGCCCCTCCCCTGGCCAAGCCGGCCCCGCGTGGTCCAGCCGCCTCGCCCTCCCTGCGCCGGGACCCACCTGCCACTTGCCCCGAGGTGTCCTCAGGCCGTAGCGCTGGCTGGCGGGCTGCAGCTCCCTTGGCACCGTCCTGGCCTGAGCCCCAAGTGGGATCCTGGCAGGTCCGGCCAAGGCCAAGGCCGCCTCTGAGCCAGACAACTCCAGGGAACAGCCAACCCGTCAGACGAGTTTGAGACCCGCCCCACACAGGCAGGTCCGCCCGCCTCTGCGCTGAGGCTGGGGCGCCCGCGGGGGCTACGTGTGACACCTGACCCAGCACCCCGGGCCGTGTCGGGGCTGCACCCTGTGGTCGGGGTGCCAGCGGGGCCCAGAAGGAAGGCCGCCGGCCACCAGTCAAGCCCCGAGGGGATGGACCGTCAGGGACGAGGGCACAGCACGTGCGAAGGCCCGGGGGTCAGCATCGGGGAACTGGGCAGTGAGGCCACCCCCAGCCCCAGCCAGAGGGGACCCAGCTTGGCACCGGGGGCCGGTGCAGGTGAACGTGGGGGTGGAGTGGGGGAAGGGGAGGCCACGCGTCCGTCCAGAAGGCATTTCCGTGTGCCTCCTGGGGAGGGGCCCAGAACCCACCCGAGGCTCCCTGGCCCTGAGGGGTGGGACGGGCCTGCGGGTCGGCTACCCACGTGCTGGCAGCGGAAGTGCTGGGCGAGGGTCCGAGGAGGTGGCCGGAGCCCTGCCCTCCCTGGGGCTGTCCCCCCCACTCCAGGGCTGATGTCACCTGTGCTGGGACTTCCTGAGCCTTCACCTTGGATGTGCCCAGCCCCAGGGGAATTCCAGGACAGCCGCTGACTCACTTCCAGGCCCCAGCAGCTGTGGGAGAAGCCAGCTCCCCAGCCTGGGACCTGGGTTCCGACGGATGAGAAACTGGGAGCGCTCTGGGGTGTTCTTTCTCCGTGCTGCTCATCGACTCGTGTCCTCAAGGGCTGCCAGGATGACCGGCAGAGTAGAGCTTTAGCAGCAGAGCACCAGGGTTAAGATTTGTGGGGTTCGGGTCCCTGCCCTGCCGCCCACCACCTATGTGACCCCCCAGGCAAGCTGCTTAACCTCTCTGTGCCCGTTCCCTCATGGATTAAAAGGGGACCATCACGGTACCTCCCCAGGGGGGTTCCTGTGACACTGTGCGAGGGGACCCAACGTGCAAAGTGTTGGAAGTGGGGCTCGGGGCACAGTGGGGACTTTACGGGAAAATGAGAAAACAGATTCACGGCAGCAGGCCCTGCTCTTGAGTCTCCACGCCCACCGACTGTGGCCGGCTGAGTGGACAGCAGGGACCCTCGATCTGACGGGAAAACAAAGGCACCTCGCCTCCGGGGCCCATCTCCCAGAACCCATCACCCTGCTCTAACCCCGAGAAAAAACACCAGACAAACCCCAACCGAGGGACATTCTAGAAACTGCTCAGCCAGTCCCCCCCACGACTGTCCAGATCCTCAAAAACGAGGAAGGTCTGAGAACCCGTCACAGCCCAGAGGGGCCTCGGCAGATGCGATGACTAAATGTCACGTGGGGTCCTGGATGGGGTCCTGGGGCAGAAAAGGGGCATTCGGGGAGAAGGAAAGGCGTGACAGGACAGAGGATTCTAGGTGACGGTCGAGTGTCTGTGACATGCGTCCCACACACACGCGAGATGCTGATGATGAGGAAAGCGGGTGTCAGGTATCCCTCTGCTCAGTCTCTGCAACGTCCCTTTGAATCCCAAACCGAGCCCCAGAGAAGATAATCCCAGCACAGGACCTGAGCCGAGCTCTCCCAGCCTGTCATCGGCCCCTCGCAGGCGTCCCGCTCCGTGAGGGCGAAGCCCCCCACCGGCCGTCTGCAAAACCCCCTGCATGTCTCACCTCCCAAATCGGTTAGGAGCCGTCGGTGCCAAGTCACAGAAAGCGAAACTGGCTTTCTTTGTTTAATGGGACTTTTTGGCTCATGGAACCGAAAGACTCAGGGATAGGTCTAACTCAGGGTGCCCCCCACCAGCACCGCTGACATTTGGGACCAGCATCTCCGGCCCCCACCCACTCCACGTCAGGAGCACCCCCTCACCACCACAAATGTCCCCACACATCGCCCAGTGTCCTCTGGGGGGCAGACTTGCCCCTCATAAGCCCCGCTGGTCCAGCTGATTTCAGGCTAGGCTGGATCCAGGACCTTCAAACGGTGTCACAGGACTCCATCCGTTCTCTCTCATTGCTTTTTTCCTCAACGGTCTAACCCCTTGTGGAGACAAGGATGATGCCACAGCTCCAGGCACAGCACAAGGTCAGCACTTCCTCCCCAAGAGAAGCAGCAAAAGTTCCAGGGAAGGTTCTGATTGGCTCAATCTCAGTCACATGTCTGTCCCACCAATTGTGCCCAGGTGATGGAAAGCCCTGATTGGCCAAGCTGGGATCACATGGTTGTCTGGAGTCAGCTAGTGTGGGGAGGACCCGCTGGACTGGATAGGTGTGTGTTGGCGGGAAGTAGCCCTGGGCAGAAAGTCTTGTGGTCACTCAAAAGTTAACACAGAATCACCGGATGACCCAGCGGCCTCCAGTGCTTTCAAACCCAGCAAACTGGAGGTGGGGACTTGCACAGAGACCCACCTGCACGTGACAGTTCACGACAGCACGACTCATGACAGCCAAAGGCAAACACAACCCCAGCAGCCATGGATGGATGAACGGAAAATGGGACACGGTCTGTTCACACACTGGAACGTTATTTGGCCTTGGAAAGAACGGATGTCCTGATGCCTGCCACGACGTTGATGGACCTGGAGGACGTTGTGTTCAGTGACATAAGCCATACACAGAAGGACACGTCCTGTGTGATCCCACTCACGCGAGGTCCCCAGAGGAGTCAGACTCACAGAGATAGAGAGTAGATGGTGGGTGACAGAGGCTGGGGAGGGGAAGAGAGTTAATATTTAATGGGGACAGAGTGTCAGTTTGGGATGGCGAGAAAATCCTGGAGGTGGACGGTGGGGACGGCTACACGACCTGTGAATATGCCTAAGGCCAGTGAGCTGTGCCCTTAACAGTGGTTAGGGTGGTGAAGTTTATGTTGTACGTGTTTTACCACAATAAAAAAAAAAAAGTACCCAGATAAAAATCTCCCTCTCAGCGCCCTGGCCACGATGGCCAGCATCTTGGGTGTCCTTACCGGGGAATGTGTACCAGACAATATGGGGTCTACCAACACACACGTATGTGTGCACACAGCGCACACACGCACATATGCACACACGCATGCGCACACGCAGACATGTGAGCACACATGTGCACACACATACACACACGCACGTGCACACACACGCGTGCACACACGCGCACTAGTTTGTAGCATGCTCCACACTCTGCCCCTCCCGCCTTTTCACCTAACGCCTGTTGGAGTTCGTTGCAGTGAATTCACAGAGGGTGCCCAGGAGGGCGGCTGGCGGCGGGGGAACCAGACGGGATGCCCTCATGAGGTGAAAAGCGGCGTGACTGCAACCCAGGCGTCCAACGTCACCTGCTCATCATGCCCCTTCCCGAGGGTCTCGTGAGGTCAGTGCCGTCAGTCACACCATCCAGACCACGTTAGACCCCATGGCGCCCTTGGTTTTACCGAGCACTTTCCACGCATCAAGCCCATCGGACAGACGATGGAGCCAGGAAGAAATACCTTCGGTCAGCAAAATGGCAAGGAATGGTGCTCGGGAGTAGAGCAGCCTGGGGATGAGGGGGACCGGGGCGGCCCAGAGCAGGCGTGGGCTCAAGCATGGAGCAGAGAGAGGGGGGCATCTGGGCCAGGAGGGACAGGCTGTCTGGGCGGCGGGAGGGGCATGTGCGAAGGCCTGGGGGCAGAAGTGGGGCTGGGCTGTGAGGGATGGACACAGGTGCAGCGGTTAGGAGCCTGGGTTCGGATCCTGGGGCCCCGGCTGCTCCGGGCTGCAGTTTTAGTACGTGTTCTGAGTGGCAGGAATTGAGTGTGCAGGGCTCGGGAATGGTGGCCCGGTGTGCAGAGGCTTGGAAAAGGGAAGTTGAGTCATAGAGCCCGGAGGCCACCGCAGCTCAGCTGGCAGGTGGGTCCCAGGGAGGCAGGCAGAGGACACAGCTGAGCTGGGGAGAGGGGGTGGGGGGCTGCCCTGCTTGACTTCCTGTGCATGGGGCAGCAGAGTGTGGGGCTCACACGTCAGTCCCCAGACCTAGAGGCTTTTGCACCGTGAGTCCCCCCATCAGGGTCCTGGGGCCTCAGGTGATCCCCGCTTATGGGGTTATGAAGTGAGCTCCTGGCGCCAGGCAGCTCCAGCTCCGCGTGTGAAGGCGGTGGGGCTGTTAGGGGTCTGACCTGGGTACCCGCATCTCACCCCAGGGGCCATGAGACTGCCGGCTGTGCCTCCTAGAGCCTGTTTTCCTATCTGTGAAATGAGGACAATTTCGAACCCACCGTAGCATCTCCAAAGATTAAATTTCAAAAACATAAGGTATTTTCGTAAAAGCCTGGAAAAATCATTCGATCCCCCCCAGCACAGCAAGGAAGGGGGCTTCCTGTGGCGGTGACAGATGAGGAAACTGAGGCAGGAACGTGACGAAGCGAGGCCCAGGCCCCTGAGGGCTCGCTGCTGCGGTGCCCGTTCCGCAGACCGGGCGCGGGCGGCTCAGCGAGGAGGGGGCGTCGGCGGGAGGGCGGGCGCGCGTGGGG